CTCAGCCTCCTGAGTAGCTGGGACTACAGGCATGCGTCACCAGGCCCGGCTAATTTTTTCTATATATTTTTAGTTGTCTGGCTCATTTCCTTCTATTTTTGGTAGAGACGGGGTCTCTCTCTTGCTCAGAGCGAGAATCCTCAAGAATCCTCTTCTTGGTGTCCAGAGATTAAATGGAACAAGATCGATTGACCTTCCTGAGGCCTCCTTGTTCTCATATCCCACGAGGGCATACTTAAGCACGTTCAGGTTCTAATCAATTTGCTTCAGGCTTTCTGAAAAAAGGGAAAATGCAGTCTAGAGGCTGTCATTTGAGTTTGAGCTTTAACAGGCTCTCAGTCTCTAGCTGGCTGACATGAGGCAGGTGACTCCTTTCAGAAACAATGAAAGAAGAAGCGCTTTAGAAACCTGCCAATAACTTTGATTTGACATAGTTTCTTCTTCCAGGCTCACACTAAACTTGAACACAAAGTTAGAGATACCCCTTTTACTGCATGAAATGAAAATTTCCAAGGCATCTAGTATTAATGACTACTCAGGCAAGGGATTTGCATTATTGTTTACAAAGTAAAAGTTTGGCCAGAAAAAAATGGTTTTCCCTAGTGCAGCTATAAATAGCTATCTTATCTTTTATTGGATATAGTTTTAAAATGAATACGAGAGGCCAAAGCAGGAGGATCACTTGAGGTCAGGAGTTTGAAACCAGCCTGAGCAAGAAGAGTGAGACCCTGTCTCTACAAAAAAAAAAAAAAAAAAAAAGTAGCCTGGTATGCTGGTGCATGCCTGTACTCAGGAGGCTGAGGCAGGAGAATCACTTGAGCCCAGGAATTCGGAAAAAAAAGCCTTATAATCTTAAGGCTTGGATACAATTTTTTTCTTTTAGATTGAATTAAGATTACATTGATTAATGTACAGTTTACTTTGATTTGCAATATAAAACATAAAGGTAAAATTTTATTGTAAATGCATCTCATTTTTCCTAATAAATTTAGGTATCCATCGATGAGTGTTACTTACTGCCTGAATGAGACAGGATTCAGTGTCAGTTCTCTTCTCAATTTTTGGCTTTATGGATGTAAGCACTGAGAAACATTGTTCCCATAAATAGGTAGATGGCAATGCTGGAATTTTGCCATGTAACTGTCACTTGATTCTTTAAATACCTCTAATAATATGCTAAAATCATTATTATTAATATAAAGATAGTTTAATGATTGTCAGCTGACAACTGCGTTAGGTTCTTCAGGTTTGTTGTTGAAATCAAAGAAGTAGAAACTACCTGCTTTGCAAAAAGACTTGTTACATGATCTTTAGAGTTACACTTTCTTAATATCTATACCCATATTAAAAATGGCCCTTTGTTTGGGGCTCAGGCAGTTCACCACAGTCGAACTGAGACTGGTTGGGAAGAAGTTGCCTTGTCTTCAGGTATTGATACATTCTAAGGTAGACTGCTTTTAGGAAAGACTGGATGTTGAGAATATGGAATTTGATTCCCTTAAAAATGTCCTGCTCATGCACCCCTTGGAAAATCTTCCTGAACTCCCAGGTGTACGCACACTCTATTTTGAGGACATCTGGCTAGGATCGTATTACTTACTATTTTTTTTCTTAGATAGTTTATTGCATGTATTCACCCAGGGGTTTTTGTTTTTCATTTTTTTGGCTATGCATCATTTGCAAAATGTGATTTCCAGTTTTTGCCATTTTTAATAGTGTTACTATCTTTGTTTTAGACTGTTGCTATGATGGGAAAGGGCTAGCTCATAATTCCATACCACTGGCCTATGTTTCCTGGGGGACTCATTACTAAGTCACTACTGCTTTTTTCATTTTTTTCCAGAAAAAATTGTGATTACTTTTCACAGCATTGTGCAAGTGACCTCTAGAGAGGTTTGTAAGTCATTTGATCCTAACCTTTCCACAGCATGACTTACTAGCCTTTTGATAGAAATTAAGTGGTTGTAAAGGTGTTTTCTATGCAGATGTCACTAGTTCCTGATGCTTCAAAGGGAAAAATAAAGACTATACTGATATTTCTATTTTGTAGAAGCTACCAATTATTA